GTTTATTCCTTTAATAGATTTAGAGCCTTCATCTTTGGAATTCTCATGTATACTGCAAATCTGCTGAGACATCTAGTTCATGGATTTTCATTCAGCTTTCTATTAGTAGGTAGCCATTGTTGGAATAGCTGGACCACAACCCGTGAGACATTCTGATAAATCCACCTTCTACATATATGAAGAATTTCATTCTACCAGTCCTGTTCAAGTAAAGAACCCTGAATAAGGATTTTTTTCACCTGCTCACTGAGGAAGATGTGCTGACTCATGATACTGCCCATAAAGGCATTCTTCTAGCCTTGTTCTCTCTAGGTGTTCAACTACCATGAGACAACACTTATTATTATTATTATTATTATTATTATTATTATTATTATTTTCTCAACATTTGGACCTCAAATGCAGGAATTAAAATCCTGGATGTATCAACTAGTTTTCTTTCAGGAGAAAAATATAGTATAGAAAAATATAGTTGGTGATGTAGTTCCTGAATTGTTCTCATGGTTGTCAGAAGTATCTGTGTCAACCAGGTAAAAATTACCCTTAGTTCTCCTGATGCCAGCCTGAAGCCACAGAACAAACTTCAACTTTTATATTCTAAATGTGTAATTTTGTAATATTCAGGGCACCCTTCCATCTGTTGAACAGGAGAATCACTCCTGTGCAAGCCAGGCACATTGTGTCCAAGAGGAAGAAGGCTATGTGCCTATGGACTGCAGGAAGATACCTCAGCCATCTACTGGAGACAAAGTTAATGATATTGACATTCATATCTCTGCAGATCCATAAATTCTGGTTCTAGCATGGAAGCCAGAACCAAGGATTGCTGCGCTGTGCCTTTAAGAACACTGTGCCACTGGGAGATTTGTTCCTGTCACTCAAGTCTCACTAGCCAATCACAGCCTCCATGCTGACCTGTCAGTCAAAAGGCAGGTGGGACTTCCTGGCGCCATTTTACAGGCTTGATTTTAAAGCGGACCACGCCTCTTTGGACCAAGAGCTGTTTTGTGAGTGCAACAGCCGGGAACTGTGAGGAGAGCGTGAGTGAGCGTGGAAGCCACGACATGGTGAGCAAAGGGCTGCTGTCCCGATATGGAGAGGAGAGGAAGGTGAGCTATGTGGGACTGTGCTGCCGATCTTCACTGAGCCTGGGTGGGAGCTTAAGGCCACAGTCAGGGTTCGCTTAGGCCCCATGTGGTACTCGCAACTCCTCAGCCACAGTTTCCGGTCTCTGAAAAATTCCTCTGTGGGCTGCATCTGTAAAAAGAATTTCGAGGAGGGAGTTGTGTGTAGAAACTTCTTTGTAGTCAACATCAACGTGATTTTGATGCATATGGAAGCCAAGCAGTCAAACTTCTAGAGTTTCTCTACCTTCTCCCCGAAGTTCGGCATTTTGTGTTTAACAATTAGTAGTAAGATCCATTTGGAGTTAATTTTGTGGAGTTTGTAAATGGCATTCTTGCGTACGTTTACACTCCACTACTAACCTGTGATGCAGAAGAGTAGAATTGTTGATATAAAGGCTTCACCAATGCCTAGGAGATATTTAGCTGAGGGAGAGTTGCGTCTAAATTACCCAAAGATAAGGCGTCTGCTAACTAGGCCTGCTAGAGATTAGGATGCTAGGAGACGTATTTGTTCTCTAGGATTGCCCAAACATTTGGCTGTAATCCAGGATACAGTAGACACTCTGATTTACAGCCACGTGGCCTATTCCCCTATCAAAGAATAGGCCTCACACAAGCTGCTCAAGGGGCCATTACAGGATCACAGTGAACTCGAGGGCCTGGTCTGCCATAAATACCCAGTTTTCTCCTATGGAAAATTAATGTTCTGCCAAATGCACACGATGAGAGCAGGTTTCCGCTGTGTGAAAAGGAAAACACTGTTGTGCAGAGGACTGGGCTGATCAAGCAACACTTTTCATTTCAGTTCTCCCTCATGGAGATGGAACATAGCTCCTTCTGAAACCCAGGGACTTTTTGGTAGAGCCAGGAACAGCCTAGTGTCTAGGCATTAGTAGTTTTTCCTAAATTCCTGAACTATACAGAATAAGACAGAGCTCCTATATTGGAAGCAAGAATGTGCTTGGGAGAGATGGTAATGGTCTGGAGCCTGTGTCTTGGTGGACAGGGTCTTCAGGTCCTGAGAACAATACTCCACGTGGAGCTACAGTTATCAGTCCCAAGGACACTGTGGGCTTAATCCATAATATTCTTGACATATTCTGTGATCCCTTTGTGCTGTAGTATTTGAATTGTCTCCTGAGTTTGTCCCATTGTATGGTAATAATTTCTGCTGACTTTGATTTTCCTCTGGAAGTAGTATACAAGAAGCTATTCCTATTGCTTGCTTGGAATAAGACATATATGCAATATTCCTGCCTCAGCGTTTATCATTTCTTTGTTTTACTTTTTTTTTTTAATCTTTCTCATCTTCTGGCACCTCCACCTCAGGACCTATTACTAAAGTATGACCTGCTATTTCAGGTCTCTGGTATACTTATGTAAAATTATGGTAATGCTTTGCTTTGTAAGTCTCTCATTTGCCTGACTGGCTAGACTTAAATTTCCTGTTACTATTTAAATTCTTCTGAGTGTAAGCAAGAGTCTGAACCTAAGACAAAGTTAAGAATGGCAGCACATGTGGATGCAGTGTTTGTTCTCGTCTCTCTCCTCTTTGAGCATTTACCAGAGAGGGGTGCATGCTATCATTACAAAGATTTTTCTTTATCAATCTCTCAAGTGAATGGAATGATTTCTCCCTGGAAAGACTATTCTAGAACAGCTGCACTCCCAGCCTTTTAGAAAAATATTTCTGAGACAAGCTCTCCTATATTGACATAGATGACCTTTATCCCAGTGTGTTGCTTTCTGGTCAGTGACCTTGTTATCCTTTTGATTACACCTGCAAAATTCTTTTTTAAAAAAAAAAATTATTTATTATGTATACAATATTCTGTCTGTGTGTATGCCTGCAGGCCAGAAGAGGGCACTAGACCCCATTGCAGATGGTTGTGAGCCACCATGTGGTTGCTGGGAATTGAACTCAGGACCTTTGGAAGAGCAGGCAATGCTCTTAACCTCTGAGCCATCTCTCCAGGCCCTCCTCCAAAATTCTTAAATGACTGTACATCCTCAGACTTTTAAAATTACCCACTTGAGTCATGTAATTAACTATCCATTACAGTCACAGGAGAAGGATTTGCATATGGAACATGGTTTCTGCCTTCAGACCAGAGTAGAAAGAATAGTTTACTGAGAGCGCTGCAGGGGAAATGGGAGGAAATGAGCTGCTGGAGTCACCAGTACGAGAAAGGACCAGATTTTGGCAGTGTGGTAGTTTGAATGTAATTGGCCCCTACAATCTCTCAGGGAGTGGTACTATTAGGAAGTATGGGTTTTTTGAAATGGGTATGGTCTTGTTGAAACCAGTGTGTCAGTGTGGATGGGCTTGGAGACTTCCTGTGTTCTGGATACAGCCAAGCAGGCAGTCAGCTTCCTGTGGTCTGCATTCCAGGTTGTAACCAGTACCACATCATCCTGCTCGCCATCATGACCCCACCATGATGATAGTTCACTGAACTCTGAACTGGAAATGAGCAAACTTCATTAAGTATTTTCTTTATACAGGTCATGGTGGTCATGTTGTCTCTTCACATCAATAAAAATCATAACTAATACATTTTTAGTATTTTTTTTAACATGCCGGGATGTATTAATTTTGTCATGTGAATGAAGATAGACATGATTTGTGATTTTATAATTTGGGAAGGTTAGCTTGAGCCAGTGAGTATTGAGTTTCCAGTTAGGTAACTGTCCTGTGCAGATGTGTTCAATCCTGCTTGACTCCGTAAAGTCAGCCGTGAGGATTGAGAAACAGCCATTGACTGTAACTCTGTATGTCAGGTTACAGAGCTCAGCAGTCTGTATGTGCATTTGAGTTATTCCAATCAATCTATTATTAGTGACATTTAGTCTGCAATGAAATGTCCTAATATTTTTCACAGTCAATATACCTGAGGTATTTCTTATTGTTTTTAAAATAAATTGTTTTTTTAAAAAGCACATTATTTGTATCTTTTTTCAAATTTCATTTCTTTAAATGCATTCCTGCATTATTTTCTGTTTAGTTCTGTTCCCCACTCTTACTTCGTTATAACAGATTTCATTTTTTATTTTTTCAAGCATTGTTGATTTATTTATTTCTCTTTAGAGCAAGGCATTTTTTCATTCAGGCTTGCCCCCACAGTATGTAGTTGGAAATTTGAAATTGGACGCTAAAAAGAAATCCTACACTAGCTCAGAATTGAGGATACTACAGGGTTATTTATTTAGATCACAATCCTCTGCTCGAACAGGGAACAGCAAGCAAATCCTGCAGCCAGAAGTGAGAGGGAGTGCATGCTTAACATCAGCATTTATAGTTATACATCAAGAGGCCATGAACAATTGAGTGGGTAACATAAAGGCTACTGACTGTAGGATTTCCTACAGAATTTCCTCCTTTTATTTAAGTGAGTTCTAAGCCTAATACCAAATTATATACAATAAGAACAAATACCAGGTATAAAAATTAGAATTACAACAAGCATAAACAATATCAAGCAAGAAATGTGATAAATGTTTCTAATTTAAGGAGTTTAAATCTTGTGTTATAAATTGGAGAGGAATGTAACTGTAGCTATCTAGTCTTCAACCCCATTTAAGACCTGAGAAGGGAAATAATATTTCTTGAATAAGCAGGAAGTGCAATCAAGCAACTTCCAAAAGGTACAACAAATGACAGAGACAACTGGCTACCTGGGCAATCACCCAAAGTCTTATTTGCAACATTGGAACACGCAACTTTGGCTAAGGCCTAGAGTAACGGACAGACTATTTTCAGAGGCAGGAAATTTTTCAAAACCATGTTACCCTGTCTTTGCAAGAGTTGACAGTCATTTTTCTTGTGTCCTGCTTGTCCTGTCTGGACATCATGCATTTTGTGAGTGGTCGATGCCTGGGCAGTTCCTTGCCCAAAGGCCAGTTTCGCCAAGAAGATAACAAGCTCCAAGTGGAGTGTCTTCCATGCTCAACATTCTCTCGGGCATAGATTTGAGCAATCATGTCTCATGTTAACAAAGCTAAAAGTTGTTTAAATGTTCTACAGCTCTTTGAAGTGGGTGGAGACTACCTATCTATGCAGAATACAGTTTCTATGTATGTAAACAACCTGATTAGTCTAACAACAAGTATGACAAATATGGATGACTATTGACCTTTAATTCTTTTTTGTTTTTTTTTTGACAGGGTTTCTCTGTGGCTTTGGAGCCTGTCCTGCAACCAGCTCTTGTAGACCAGGCTGGCCTGGAACTTACAGAGATCCTGACCTTTAATTCTTTTCTTTTCTTTTTTTTTTTTTTTT